GACTTTGCCTTCTTCACTGCACCTAAAATTTCGCTCAAACCGCCAATAGCCTCAAGCATGAGGTTTATACACTTGGTGTCCAAACGATTCCAAGGTGTGATATGCTCAACAAATTAGGAGCAACATTATCTGTGACAACCTGTATAACATGCTGCTCCCAACCTCCTTAATTCCCTTCTCCTTAATTTGGAATATATAATGGGGATGACTATGATCAGAGGCATCAATAGACCTCAAAAAAAAGTCCTTAAAGGACAATTTAGTAGTAAATTCATCTGACTTGTTCTCTTCCTATCACTCCAAGCATTAGTCATAATAGAAACTCCATACTGAACCCATGCATCCTTTTGAACTTCAATAGCATCCCTCGTGAGACTCACCTTTTTTTCAAAAGAGGCTCTGAAAGCTCATATGGGGTAGGGCGTTTCATCCCTGGCCCAAATTGGCCAATTGCCTCTACCAAGGCATAGAAGTTGCTTAGGCAAGCGGTATTGGAAGGAATGCTCGCCTCGTAAAACCATGTAGAAATATATTTTGTAGCTCTACCTCTCTCTGCCTTCTTGATTTTATTTTTAATGGTGGTTCGCTTCTTTGTTTTCTCTTCTACAACCTCAGGGTGAGGCTGGGGCAAAAAACAATCCATAGGGCCTCTAACCCAAGGCCTCTTAGGCCTCGAACTCCTAGAAGCAATTACAACTCCCTTTCCCTTCCCCCTAATCTTGGATTGTTGTTGTTCTACTTCTACCTTTCGAAATCCCTCCCCGTCCTCATTAATGTCATCGTCATCATAACTGACTCGAATTCTAAACCTTATCTCTATTATGGATGCATGTCTCCCATCTTTTTTTATTTTTACAAGCCTCGAAAATATTTTTATCTCCTCTTTAATAACATCCGGAGCTTTTTTACGTGGGACAACATCCCCCTGATACTGGCAAGATGTTTCTTGAACAGGTTTATGCCCCTTTTTGTATCCTTTTCACAAAACTTGCGTCGTATGCAATTTTTATTTAAAGGATTCAGGTTGTAGCCATATTTCCAACCGGGATCATCATTTCGATTAGATCCTGAAAAAGACATCTCAAAAGAAGACAAGCAATCAAAACAAAAATCACTAACTTTGATTGCTCGATCTCCAAACTTCTACCTCTAAGATGTTTCTAAAGTCTCAAAATCTTCTAAAAAACCTTCTAGTATATTTATAAAACATCCAAAATTAAATCTAATATCAATAGGTGATTTTTAGATCAATTTCTCGTAACTTTGAGAAACCCTTCGATCATATGAAAATTACCAAAAACTAGTTTTTGGGGATTTTTCTCTTTTTAAAGTTTGCTCTAATGGGTTTTAGGTCTCAAATGAGCCTAAAACCCACAATTTTGCCTCTTTGGTAAACAATGTCCTCAACGAGGGGCATTTTTGCCCCTGGGTGGCAGCCCGCCTTAGCAGGTTCCCGAGTGCGTAGGTGGGCGCCCAATGATATCCCGCTTAATTTGAGAGCCATCGCCTAGGCCTTCTGGACTGCTTAAGCGTTGGGCGGTCTGCTTTTTAAGTCACTGCTTGGAGAACGAGGACCCATGGTTTTCCCCCCTCTCGAATTCTGTCTCTTACACTGCCTTGAAGTAGAGTATGACTTTGCAAGACTTTGCTAGTCTTTTCTTTTAGGATGTCATGAAGGATGATTAGAGGGCACTGACTCTAGATGATCCATCCCTTCCAATGAAAAGGACATGGTGGTCATCGACATGAGAACAAGCTAGGAGATGTTGCCTCACCCATGGAAGATCGAAGGTTTCTAGGAAAGAACTTCAAATGGTCCCTGTTAATGATGTTTAGTAACTCGCTGATGTAACTTGGGACCTGCCTGAGTTCACTTGGATGGTGCAGGTCCTTAGGATGTATGCGCCAACACGCTTTGGGGTCTTTTGTAATTAAATGCCCAAGTCTTGGACAAGCTTGGTGATTTTTTCAATCTAAGTTTGCTGCCCTGTGTCTCACCCATGTTGTCAGGGATTTGTGAAGTATGATTGTTTTTGTTTATCAGTTTTTCCTCCAGAACTTTCAATATTCCAACTTATTTGTGGTTTTGGATTGCAGGAGGGGTGCTAATACCATTTTTTCGACCCCTCTCAATTTTGCCGATTTGGACGCACTAATTAACTAAAAACTTCAGAATGGATGATTTTCAGAGTCCGGTTTTTACTTGGAAAAGTTTGCTAGGGCCGGATCTTCAAAATGGATTTCTAATGGTTATAAAAGCTTGGGTGAGGGTTCTATGAGGATTTAGAGCTGCAAGACCTAAAAGGGGTACAAGTAACCTTTTGATTGGGTAAATCTAGAGATTGGCCACCATTGTTGACTTTGGGTACATACTATGTATTTGTTCGTGATCGTCGTTCATTCAGTTACCATTTTCATGTTAGCTGTTTCTCGAGCTACCTTTGATCTCTGCAGATCTATGGACTTTTCCTCAGTAAACTAATTCTCAAGCTTCCTCAGCAGTCTTTTATTTTTTAAGATGAAAACTAGAAAATCACAATCACCCTTGGCCATTACATGAGAAATTGGACAAGTAGGGATGTGCTGTTAACCTCCCTCAAAGTCCAAAAATTTTCTCTAACTTTATGACACACCCCTAGCCATTTGATTTCATTCCTAGCAGCTAGGAGAGATTGTGACACTCTTTTACCAAAAATAAATGGTCTAATAGTACACAATCAGAAAAACCATTTGTAATTATACTTTATTTCAAACATTGCTAATGCACTACTAACAGTTGCATTAAAAAACCCAATAGTCTATTTCATTTTCTGATTGAAATATTTCGCCTCTCCCAATTTTCTCTTGGTTTTTTGAAATTTTTCTAGTTTTCATATTTTTCTGTTTTCCCTTTTTATTATATTTTATATTTTAGCTTTTTAACACTGTTTTGCTTTGTCAACTTTGGACTTGGTGAGTCAATGCGAGCTGGGGACGAGAGTCCGAGGGTGAGTCCATGTTCTAAAACATTGTTGATAGAAGATCAAGCATCCAAAACATGGTATGCCGATAGCCAGACACCCCGTTTCTCGATACAGTCATATGTTGGGAATTGGAACTGTGATACCATGCATGGTCATAAGGACCTTATTATTTTGATGAGAGAACTTCAGTGGCATATCCTCGTAACAGACTCAGGGCCTGTGGGCCATGGAGATGCAATCTTTTGCCTATTCCCTGGCCCATCTGATTGGTCCGGGAAACTTAAGCTGCCAATGGGACGACAACTTGCACATCAAGGGCGATTTGTCGAACTTCATGACATGGGCCAGCAAAGAGACTAACCTTCCGATGGAGACATAACCCAATATTCGACAAAATCCATCACCTTTGCTCCTTGCTTAACCTTCCGACATGAGAAGCCATCTCCTCTTGGATGTGCTATCCAAGGAAGGTACTGCTGGCCTGTCCACATGCATTACCCCCCACCGTACCCAAATAGAGACTAAGATGGCGGGGTACCTACTGCCACACTCTTGTGTGCCTTTTTCATTATCGTACCAAATTTTGCATGGAAAACTTAACACACAAATTTGTCCCTCTTGATCCCATTATTGTTACCTGACAGGCTTAAAAGGCCAAAATAGATATAGTTTTGCAGTGAAACATAGAGAATTTTCAGTGGAGTTTGGATGAATCCAATGAATCTTGCAGGGATAAGTCATTCTCTGGTTGCTGCAACCATACAACAAATGACAAATGCTGTACCATGATATCTCTAGTTTAGAGCATCCTTTTGGACATAATTTTTCACCTCAACTGGCCGCCCCGTGGGCACCCCCACAATTGTCAGTTTGTTACATGACAATCCCTCACAGAAACACCTTATAAGCTAGTTCCATGAGTACTGGGAAATGAAAATGAAAAGAAGCTTCCTCATATTAAATGTCTTGCCAAAGATGAAATACGCCCCTCATCCACCCTTTGCCTAACTCATTTGAGAACTTCACATCAATTGCACTGTACCCCTTTCAAGATCCTATTGTTCCTATCCAGCTTTCTCAAGTTCTATCCCCAATTGAGTCTTCCAACCAACTGCTAGCAGATCCTATCCCAATAACTGAGCTTAATTGCTCGATCTTGGAAATGGAAAGAAGCTGGTAAGTGTGACGTCCATGATCATGCTTGAGACTCTTTGCCCCTCGAATGCAAGACATGCTGTATACAGAAGTATACTGCTGACACATAACTTAATTGCCTAACTAATGGTCTTTAGTCTGTCGGTAAACCTCCGGCAACTCTACCTGTTGGGCAACATTTGATATGAGGAATGGATCTTCATATTTGACGAAGTAAAGACAGCTGACCATCATTCTACTGGAACATATTTCTCTGCCCTTGTTTTGTCCAGTTTGAACTTTTTTTTTTTGTTTTCATGTACATCTGCACTCATTCGAGTGCTGTTCTCTAGGTTGCTCCCGAATCATATAGAGCCATGCTAGTGTATGCCTCCACTGAATTTGCCACATCATTTGTGAGCATGGCATCACTAGAGATGTGTAAGATCCCCGCTTTGCCTGCTTGTCACCTGCGTTTTTCATTGCATACAGGCGATGGATACTCTACACACTGACATTATCATTATCAATTTTCAGTGGTTTGATATGTCTAGAGGTCTAAGATAAGATTTTTTCATCAGTTTGTCTGAGACTTTCATCTATCTCTCTTTTTTTTATTTTTTCTGGTAATTATGTTAAAACACTTAACACCTGCCTTGATCTTTACCTTTTGAAGAACATCATACTAGTACCAGGAATAGGCTTGGGAAAATTGATTTAAGTACCATGAATTTCATATGAATTAGCTGACTATTTGTTATGCTTTACTTCATGGAAACTTACAAGTTTCGAAATTTTAAATATTCATTGTGTTCTGTTCTTTGGATTTCATTAATGAGTTTGTGACTTGGTTCTGGTACATTTTCCTTATCTGTATGTTTGACATTTCAATTTTGTTTGTAGGTCCTGATGGCAAGTTATAATCGCTTTGTAGATTTTTTAAATAGGACTCATGCTGTGAGTCCCACTGTTGCATCTGAAACTGCCACAGCTTTACAGGTGACTGACCTGATTTCATTTTACTCCAAATATTTTATGTATACATGCTGATTTTTTAACTGCTATCCAATTTGATCTGTATTGAAAATTTTTCTTTATTAGTAACTTACTTTGGGATGCTCTCTGGTGCAGTTGAAGATAGAGAAAGTAACTCGGAAAGCTCAAGAGCAGTTTCAGTTTGTATTAGAAGAACAAAGCAGGTGTTTGTGTCATATTTGCTGCGTCTTAGGTTTACTGCTTTTATTCCTGTTTGATTGTCTTGGATGATATTTTTCGCTGTTTTGGCTTCCTCTATCGGATTGATTTTGGCTGTCTGTTGTGGTTTCCTTACAATGGAGTTGAGATGTACAGATTTGGTACGTGCTAATCATTTTGTAAATGTTCAGATTTGGTATGTGCTAATCATTGTGTAAATTTTTTTATCAACTTGACCAGGTGGTCTTTTGCAATTTGTAGTATTATATAATGTCTATACCGAATTGCTAGTTGTAATTGCTTGTTGTAATGTCGCCAGAGTGGCTTAATGTTATTAAGTACTGGTTATTTACCTAGTAATTTTTGGATTTGGGAATTATGTGTCCTGAGTCTGGGATTAGGTGTGTAAGTGGGTCGGGCCTGAGCCGACCCGGCCCGGCCTGTTAAGGTCACGAGCCTTGTTTGCAGGCCCTGTTGGCCCAATGGGCCCCATGAAGGGCCATGGTTCCAGCCTATGACAGGATGGGAATTCAAGGTCTGTCAGGCCTGATTGGTCCTTTTTCATTATTTGGAACTACAGAAATTTTACCTTATACTAAGGCCTGGGCCCTTCATGTCTCAACGGTCCCTATGATGGGGCCGAGACCTGGCTCATGACAGGTCAGGCCTGGCGCAGCCCAGGTGCACCCCTATCTGGGATAAAGTGAGTCTGAAATGCTCTAAGCATTTGTGTTGAAGTCAGCAGGCTTATGTATGCGAGTGCAAGAGGGCAAAGACTTTTAATTGTATTCCAAATGGTGATGTAGAATCATGTAATGACCGGAATAGAACATTATTAGTAACTTTATTATGTACTGTGCATTTATGACTTAAGGAAATATTCAAGCATATGTACACTGTAGTCCATCTCAAATTGAAGAAGGCATGGCAGAAGTGTTTGATATGGGTCTTTGATCTTCTTCTGTTGTTCTTTTAACAAGTCAGAGATTTAAAATTGTACACATAAATGACTTCTGTGCTTGGTCGGTTTCCTGGAAACAACAGATGGTTCATCTGATAGTGATTGCTTCCACCGTGTCATTGCTATTAAAAAGCAAAAATGAAAACAGCATAGCTGGGTTTCTTGGTCCTTCTTTTTACCTAATTGCAAACGTTCTTTTATGAGCGCTTAATTTTACTTTGCTTTGCTATATATTAAATGTAGGTGGTGGTTAGAACAAAAATCAGCAAGAAAAATATAGGTTATAAACTAATAACTTGTTTGTGTGATCTCATTCTGTTTTGGGACATGTAGAAATGATGGTCCTAGTGAGAGTAAGGCTCCACATACAACTTTAGATGGATTTCTAGTATACATATAATAAAGTAATAAACATGCAATTCACAACCCCACCCCCCCTCCTCTTCCCCTCTATATATATATATATATATGTGTGTGCGTGTGTGTAATGCTTGCATGCATGTGGAAGAAGATTACACACACTAGAGAAACATGTACAAGTACTTCTGCAGGTGGAACCTACTTAGGGGTTTTCTGGTGACCTAAATTTTGGGGATGCTCTTGCCTCATCCTATTGACCAACCTAAAAGAAAAAGAGTTGAATTCTTACCCTAAAATTGCCTGGAAATAATCTTTCCCCAGGATTGACCATCAATTTTTTCACACTAGCAAATCCAGGTGTTAGGGACTCAAAATAGTTTTTCAATTAATTCCTTTGACATTGTTCATTTGGTGACTTTAAGTTGTTGGGAAGGAGATGGGGCCAAACTCTTATCATTCCAGAATGACAAAGGTGCAAGGATTTTTGATAATTGTATCCTTGCAGTGGACAACCTTACTCCTCCTCGCCATTTTATCCCTTTGTAAAGTGGGCCACTGCTAGACTACAGGCAGCTAGAACAGATGCTTACTGCCCCACTCTCTTCCTTTGGGAAACCATGCCTTCAATTTTAGCTTATCTTTCTTTACCTCTTCTAAATTTCTTTGGAGGTGTTATGTGAACTTCTCAAGCAGGACATTATTTACCTAAAATAAAAATAAAATACAAGAAAGACAAAAAAGAAAAGAAAAGAAAAGAAAAGAAAAGAAAAGAAAGAAAAGAAAAGAAAAGAAAAGAAAAGAAAAGAAAAGAAAAGAAAAGAAAAGAAAAGAAAAGAAAAGAAAAGAAAAGAAAAGAATGTCAAGCACAATTCTTAAGGTGATGAGATCTTGCCAATATCTTTTAGAGTTTAAACTTGGGATTGTTTTGTAACTTGGGGCTTGGACTTGGCGTGTCTTGTTGGATAGCATTAAAATTACAAAAGCTAGAGCAAAGCCCAAAAAGGGAAAATAATAAAAAATAATAACATTTAGTGGCTGAGTATGGGTTAATTTCCCATGTCCCTTGGTAGAAACCGAAGAAATTCAATTCTGTTTCCTGCAGATGAGAAACCTAGAAAAATATAGTACTTGCTGTGTCTCTGGATACTCACTTAGTCCTTCATGAAACTTGGAGGAATTCCTTAAAATTCTTTTCCAGTATTATAATCCCATGGTACTTGGGATAGAGCCGAATTGAGTTGGTCTGTGTGAGCCTAAGTCTCATGAAGGAGTTTTGAATTTGTGATTGTTTCCCATGAACATACTTTCAACAAATGATGGAGTTACCTGCATGATGGAGTTACCTGCAACTTAGCTTCGTAGGTTTCTCCCATGACATTCTGGTATGGGAACACTTAGAACTGAGTCTTTATTCTAATAATTAGGGATGTATTTCTCTAAAGCTGATATATTACGCATGCATTTACAGTTGAAGATGAGGTTGTAGAAATGATAGATGCATTTGGTATATTGGAGATCATGCTGATGTATGTGAACCTCTAACCTTAGAAAACTGAACCAAGTATGGACCGAAAGATGAATGTGATTATCATTTTGTTTTGTGGCCTTCTGATGCTTATTATTGAAAATTGATTTTGCCTTTCACTGGAAGTAAGCTTCTCATTTGTGACTTCATTATTCACAATGGGTTAAATGATTTAGAATGTATGCTTCGAATTATATTATTCATTTTTTAAATGTATATTATGCAATTATTCACGCTTGAAATTTACGCTTTATCGTGGCCCAGGTTTGCGCTTGATATTGATTTTGATGCTCCCAAATTGAGGATCCCCCTTGAGACAAATGAAAATATACCATCAGATGGGAGTTTTATTTTAGATTTTGGTCATTTCACTTTGCATTCTAAAGTAAGTATCTTATGTTGGTGTTAACTATCTATTTTGTGTTGCTTTGGTTTTAACTAAGAATTAGTAACCTTCTGCAGAATCACTTTGATGAGCAAAGGCAAAGTCTGTATTCACGTTTTTATATATCGGGTAGAGACATTGCTGCTTTCTTCGTGACTGGATTTGAGAGTGCAGATAATAGAGATGTAAATCTGAACCAAGCAATTTTTGGAAGTCAAATCTGTTGCCTTCCTCTTCCTAAGAATGTTAGTCAGTTCTATCCACTAATTGACAGATGCGGAACATCAGTGATTGTTGACCAGGTAGATGTATAGCCAGTGGATAAGCTTGTTGGTTTTTTGTGTAAAATGTTTAAACTTGTCAAGTGGATTCCATGGCTTCTTCCTTCCTCATTTATCTTATGTTTTGATTACAAGATCAAAGTGCCGCATCCAAGTTACCCATCAACCAGAGTTTCATTTCAAGTACCCAACCTTGGTATACACTTCTCACCAGCAAGATATGGAAGAATTATGGAGTTATTAAGCATTTTGTATGGCACTCTTGAAACGAATGATTCAGCAGATACAAAAGACTTCCAAACCTGCCGAGTTTCTTGGCATCCTGCAGAATTGTCAGCTGATGCTCGGATTCTTGTTTGGAGGGTATGCTTTTTCCTTTTATACTATACGTGTGTTACTGGGAGTTGTCATTTTTAACGATTAACAAATCATAAGAAGATGAATAAAAGAGAAGAAGAAAGGAAGAAGG